TTAGATATACCCAATAATTTGGAATTGAATTCTGAAATTTTTTTTGAAAATTTTCCGGTTTGAAATAATTTTGAAATAATTTTCCGGTTTTAATCTGTTTTGAAATAATTTTCCGGTTTTAATCTGTTTTGAAATAATTTTCCGGTTTTAATCTGTAATCTAAAAATGGATGGGGAATTTTTCCACTCTGTAAAAAATGAATGAAAGCAGAAATGTAGAAAGCTTTAGCCGTTAATGAATGATAATCTCCCGTGATATTGATGATAATGATATCTATGGACAAATTTAAATTTAAAGAGACAGAGTTAGATGAATATCTCTTATCAACTTTCATCTGTTACATTATCATTTCCATTGTTACTATTTACTTTTATATCTTTGTTACTGTTATTATTTACATTGCCATTTACCACTAGTTATTATTAATTATTATTGTTTAATATTGTTACTATTGTTATTTATTATTATTACTATTACTATTACTTATTAATTATCGTTATTACTATTACTACTATTACTATTATTATTATTATTATTATTATTATTATTATTATTATTATTATTATTATTATTATTATTATTATTATTATTATTATTATTATTACCATTACTATTAATATTATTGTTACTAATTAATTAATGAGCCGTTTTATTACATCATTCTTAACTAAAACTCTCTTACACAATCTATCACTTATTCAGTTTTTCCCTATTGTTTCATTTTCTTGAATTCTAATTTCAGATATCAAATTTAATGAAATATTTACAAGCTTAAATAATTTATCAGACATTTCAATCGCAAATAATCAATCCCAATAATTATTCCACTTTCAGTGATAAATCAAAAAATTCACACTAATTTATCATTTATTTGCATTTCTGTTCGGTGAACATTAGATAACATCTTATCAGATGAACATCTTATCAGATTGGTATATTTATGGTTGCATCACATCCATGCAACGAATTACTTACGCAATGCGTTGCTCGAGATTATATTGGTCTTCTCGATTCACGCTATGTTCTAACTTATACAATATTTACCGCTTTATATATCTACTTTATACCATTATGTGTTATTATTTATTGCTATAGTCAAATACATTACAAGCTGAAAACATTCTGTAAGTATTAATTAATTAATTAATTTGTTCAAATTAAATTAATTTCAAATTTTTGTATTTTTAAATTTATTTATTTTCTTTGTAATAATTTTTACACATTTTAGCAATAATTACTACAACGGGATGAAATTGTTTTTACTAATAATTTATTTCTAATTTTAATTAGATCTTTTTCAATTACTATCAAATTAAAAAGAAACATTAAATTTTTCCTCAAATAATATCATTATTATTATGATTATTAATAAAATTACTAATAATAATTATTAAATTTTATTAATAATTAATAATAAAATTGTTAATAATAATTATTAATAATAATGATAATAATAATAATTAATAATAATTAATAACAATAATAATAATGACAATAATAATAATAATAATAATGATAATTACAATAATAATAATAATGATAATAATGATAATTATAATAATGATAATTATCATTATTATTATTATTATTATTGTCATTATAATTATCATTATCATTATCATAATAATAAGAAAGATAATTTCAGCCATATCAGACGGAAAAGAAAGAAATAAAAGTGAAATAGAATTGACCACACCAAATATACCAAAATTTCGTAAAGCTAAAATCAAAACAGTACGAATGACATGGAGTATTGTTTCCTTCTTTCTACTTTGTTGGACACCATATTATGCAGCTGCAACATTGCATTTCATTGATATCGATTATAAGGTACCATTTAAAATATCTTTATGATATTTACTATAATATAATATAATATTTACTATATGGGATAATGTTTTACTATATATGAAAATTTATACATTATCTTCTTATTTCTAAAAAATATATTTTAATTTTAATTAGTTATTTACCCTATGATATTATACATTAATTATCAAAATTTTCGAAGAGCTAAATTAAAATTAGTAGAAATAATTTTATCCCAAAATTATTTCTCATATTTAGACCGGTAGATCGCGGAAGAATATTATGATCCCATCAATGTTATCAAAAATTTTATATATGTTTGCAACAACAAATAGCTCATTTAATGCATACGTTTATGGTTATTTCACTTTTAATTTAATGCGTGAATTACGAAGTTTGAAAATATTCTTTTTAGAGAAATTTAAAAAATGAAATTTGATCTTCAAAAATTATCAAAATGTGAAAAACAATTTAAATTTGAATTTAAATTTGAATTCAAATTTGAATTTAAATTTTAAATATGAAATAGATATTTTAATTTCAATTGTAAAAATTTTTGATATTCTCATATTGTCTTCTAATTAATAATAATAATAATATTTGGTAATTATTTAGCTCAAACATTGTCATACAAACTTTTACAAATTGAAATATAGACTTAAAAAGGAATATTTCAACTTTGTTTATTTTCTTACAATAATTTTGTTTTGTATAAAAATTTGTTTAACATGAAATTGCAAAACAGATTTAAAGTCTAAACTGATTTTAGATTTCAAATCTAAACTGAAATAGTAGAAGAAGAAATGATATCTATAGAATATATATATATCTATTATTGATCAATTAACAAAAAAAGAGTTTGATAGATATTCCACTTTAAAATTAAAGTTTTGTTAGATATTTGTAGATATATTAGTGTTAGATATTTGTAGATATTTATAGATATATATCCTCTTTAAAATTAAATTTGACAAATATTCCGCTTTAAAAAATAAATTAAATATTTAATAAAAAATAGCTGGAAGAATTTTCGAAATAAAATTCATTAATTAAATTATATTTAATAATAAATTCTATAAGTGTCTTTTTTTTTTTAATTGATTAATTAAAATAAAATTTTGTTATAATTACAGGTAAATATAATCAATTGATAAAGAATTCCAAAAATTGATTAATTAAAATTTTTTTGCAAAAATTCATTAATAGTATTGATAGAATTATGCTATAAAAAAATCATTTTACTGGTAAAAGCCTCCTCAAAAATTCTCTAAAGAATTTATATTAATATTAAATTATGCATTATTTCATTTCCTATTTCTTCGCCTTCCTATAATTATAATTGAATAAAATGATTTTAGATACTTGTATTTGATATAATATAATTAAGTATAAAAATAAAATTTTAAATCGATTATTTATTTGTTCGAAATAATTATTATCCTATATATTTGTAACTATTTTATCAAATTTATTAACGATAATTTTTTGTTGTATTCTTTAGAAATACTCCGGAAACTCATCCGGTATGCTCTTTCTTTCGTTTTTTTTAGGCCAAACAAAAAAAAATGGAATGGCTTTTTATAAATCTTATTTTAGGATAGATGAAAAGGAATGAAAGAGAAGAGAGAGAGAGAGAGAGAGAGAGAGAAAAGGAAAGCTTTTCATTCCGTCTTTCCTCATAAATTATCATCCGTTTTTTTTTAAAAATTCCATTCAATCGGAATGCTTGCTATATCTCTCTTTTTTCATCCAATTCCATTTAGCTTTCCGATGAATGCCTTTTTTTTCAGGAATGTCCCTCAAACGGTTAAAAATAATTTTGTATATTCTAATTTCTATTCTCGATTACTTATTTATTTATTTATTTGCTTGTTTGTTTGTTTGTTTGTTTATTTGTTTGTTTGTTTGTTTGTTTGTTTGTTTGTTTATTTAAGCAATCATTATTTTCCATTTGTTATTCTCGACACATTTTATATACATTTAATAATTTTTTTTTCAGGAATGTCCCTCAAATGGTTAAAAATAATTTTGTATATTCTAATTTCTATTCTCGATTATTTATTTGTTTGTTTGTTTGTTTGTTTGTTTGTTTGTTTATTTAAGCAATCATTATTTTCCATTTGTTATTCTCGACACATTTTATATACATTTAATAATTTTTTTTTCAGGAATGTCCCTCAAATGGTTAAAAATAATTTTGTATATTCTAATTTCTATTCTCGATTATTTATTTGTTTGTTTGTTTGTTTGTTTGTTTGTTTGTTTATTTAAGCAATCATTATTTTCCATTTGTTATTCTCGACACATTTTATATACATTTAATAATTTTTTTTTCAGGAATGTCCCTCAAATGGTTAAAAATAATTTTGTATATTCTAATTTCTATTCTTGATTATTTATTTGTTTGTTTGCTTGTTTGTTTTTTTTTCGTTTGTTTGTTTGTTTATTTAAGCAATCATTATTTTCCATTTGTTATTCTCGGCATATCTTATATAAATTTAATAATTTTTTTTTCAGGAATGTTCCTCAAATGCTTATAAGTAATTTTGTATATTCTAATTTCTATTCTCGATTACTTATTTATTTATTTATTTGCTTGTTTGTTTGTTTGTTTGTTTTTTAAAATAATCATTATTTTCCATTTGTTATTCTTGGTATATGTTTTTTAAAATAATCATTATTTTCCATTTGTTATTCTTGGTATATTTTATATTTTATATATATTTTATATGAATTTAATAATTTATAATTGATATTTATTTTTGTTGAAAAAATTTTTTAAACATTTCCAATTTTTACGAATGTTATGAATTCTTTACAAGAGATGTATCGGTTTGATACGAAATTTAGGCATTGATATAAAGAAGATTCAGAAGTATCAAATTTAATCTATCACAACTTATCTTTATTTGAATTTAGATCAACCTCTTTTTTTTTTTAATCGAAATTGATCAGAATTTCCAAGAATCATTAAGATTGAATAGAATTAATCTATTATAAGTAATCTAAAGCGAGAGGTTGAGAATTAAGATTTCATAAAATCAAGTTAGCAAAAACTCGGAGTGATAATAACGGTGATAAATGTGGGTGTGTAAACATCTGTCATTTATTGTTGCATTAAGGCGAAAAGACACAATTTGAGAGGCTAATTAGCTCCCATAGGCAATGATTTATTATCGAGACATATGCATGAAGAAAGCGGATCAAGGACAAGAGGTATCGATGGGTTTGACCATAACATAGAGAATATAAAAGTCGGCAGTTGGTCAAGATCTCGACACCCCTCATGGGATAAATATTGTACAGCTGCTGCTACTGCTTACTGCTACTGCTTTATGCCATATTTTGCATTAAAATCAAAATTTTGGAAACAAATCAAACAACAAACATGTATTCATCATAATTGATATATCGTTCACCTTAGGCAATATTGGGATTGTTTGCTTTCTATACTTCATTCTTATATACCTTTTTTACCATCAGTATCATCACCATGTTTCATCACGAAAATATCCTATAGGTCTTAATTTTGCTACGATAAATTTTATTCATGTTTTAATAATTAATCCAATCTAATTAATTATTAAAACATAAATACATTACTGTCAAAAGAGCTAATGTGCAAAAATCAACTTGAAATTAAATTATTTCAATATTTTTACATATGACCATATATGAAGCTTCTTAAATTACTCTTTTGTTTTTAAATTACTTACTTGTACTTTGGAACATCTTTATAGTATATAACTTTCTGCGAAGCAAAACTAAATTACGAAAATGTGTAATTAGAAAATGTACACGAAAATGAGTAATTAGGAATCATAAAAGAAAAGAACTTATTTACTAAAAGAAAAGAATCTAACAGGTAAGTCATATAGTCCAATAGACTGACAATAAGTCATATAAATAGTTGAAATATTCTTAATAACAATTAAATTTAAAATGTCAATGAATTTCTGCTTTTCTATTTTAATTTTAAATTGCGAGAAGAAATTCAACAGGCAACAAAGATGGAGTTATAATGAAGAAATTCCGAAAATATAAACAAACAAAAATTACATATTTGGAACATATAGCAAGAGCCATTTCTTCTTCTATCACTGACATAATCATCGGTGCAAAACAACAGGATATTTCATGCTAATAAATTAGTAATACCAATTAAATTTACTATCCAAAATTTTAAATCAATTTTATGAAATTTAAATTTATACATAAACATTCCCAAATTATAAAGTAACACTCAAAAACGACGGAATTGAATAAAGAAAATAAAAGAAATGAAAAATAGAATATTACCGACAATATCGCCAGTAGTTCAGAGCTGAATTTTCAGAAACGAGATTTCACGGGCCGCAACGATTCTACTCAGTGATTACGTTGTGGTCAATGTGGACTCTGCTGCAGTTTGTTTTATATTCTGGTAGTGGGGTAGGGGGTGAGGGATGATATTTCAGACCTGTAATTTAAATTTGAGCAATTAAATAGCAATAAGCTATTAAACAAAAGTCAAATTAGAAAAAAATATTAATCATAATTTATCAGTAGAAATGTTCGTTCAATTATCATAACTTATGGCTAATGTAAGTAATCTAAGGTGGTGATTTAGGTACAGTAGCTTTTTAATATTATTGTGCAACTAACTTTCTCGGAGGTGGATAGAAGTGTTATATGGTGATTAAGAGATTAAAAATCAGCCCCGGATAGTTGGTAGGTTGTTAAAAAGATGTCACCTTATAAATCATTAAATACATTTTAAAAATCAAATAACTGGACTAGTTTAAAACGGCAGTATTAGTATTTTCTACATGAAATATAACATATCCCCGAAGACGAAACTATTTAATCCTTTTTCTATGTCAAGAAAATCTGCGAGGTTTCTTTTTCTTCGATATATTTTTGATATTATGTGGAGGAGCGGGAAGACGCGTCAAATTTTTTGTTGGATGATGACAGTATTAATACCTTAGCTTGTTGATGTGAGGGCAGCAACTTTATCTTTTTTCTATCGGTCAACATATTCAACGAAAATGAAACAGGTTAAAATGGGAAAGATTGATAGAAAATAGAAAGATAACTTCCAATTCCGCCCGCAAATTAATATCAGTTTTTTGTAGCACATATAGGAAAAGTGATGTGCAGAATTCCGAGACGTCAAATTTGAATATGAAGCAGTGTATGATTAGTGCTGATTTCTTTATTTTTCAGACAATCAAGCGACGAGATTTCAAGTTTGCATAGCAAGATGAAACTTGAACGTTCGATCTGGCAGCAGTTGAACTTAGTATTAGCTTTTGAAAACAATTCCTAACTGATTCTGTTCATTCCGGTCTTCACTTCTTTATATCCGAATGACCAGCACTTGAAATTAATTAGCCCTATTTAATGAGAAATTTTATTTGCAAATGTCAATCTCGGGCCTCTTTCTAGTA